GGCCGGAGTCTCCGGTCCGGGGCGGGTAGAGGTGGAGTCGTGGTGGTAGAGTTGGTGATGCTGGTGGTTGACTGGCGGGTGAGAGCTTCCGGTTCGGCTGTAGAAGTGATGGTTGTTGTAGGTGCGGTGATGGGATTGAGGTTCGTATTTGTGGTGGTTGGCTGTCTGCTGGCCGAAGTTTCGGGTTTAGGGATGGGTGGAGGTGGAGTTGTGGTGGTATAGGTGGTGTTGATGGCGGTCGACTGGCGAGTGAGAGCTTCCGGTTCAGCTATAGAAGTGGTGGTGGTTGTAGGTGCGGTGATGGGATTGGGGTTCGTATTGGTGGTGGTTGGCTGGCTGGTGGCCGGAGTTTCGGTTGCAGCTGCAGGTGGAGGCGGAGTCGTGGTGGTGGAGTTAGTGTTGCTGGGGTTCGACTGGCTGGTGAGAGCTTCAGGTTCAGCTGTAGAAGTGGTGGTTGGCTGGTGGTTGGCCGGAGTTTGGGGTGCAGCTGCAGGTGGAGTTGTGGTTGACTGGCGGCTAAGAGCTTCCGGTTTGACCTTAGAAGTGGCGGTTGCCGGTGGTGGTGCGGTGGTTTGGGTTGCAGGTGTTCGGCGTGAAGAAGCACCGTTACCCGATGACCAGAAACGGAAGGAGAATGGTTGCTTTCGGTCCGCCATGATATGTTTTCCGTTAGCGTTTTAGAAAATAAAAGGTTCGGTTTCGACATCTTATAAGTTTTGGAACAAAGAAAGTGTTTGAAAAAGAATTCTTGAAAGTGGCTTGCTGGTTTTGTATTACTTGTGTTTCTTACCTTTCTCTTTCTTCAAATCTTTGCCTTTCTTTAAGGAATCAAGTTTACTTGTGAAACTCGTGGGTATTTTTTTCTGCAATCAAAGACAAGCACAAATTCCGATTTGTACGAAAATCGAGTTTTTTTTTCGATCAATAGAATCTGTAGTAATTAATCCCTCTAAATAAACTTCTAGATCTTAACAAGATGTCCGAAAATCAGTCAATAATTCGGACCAAACAAATTGAATAAAACCAACCCTAATGCTGATTAAAATTTCTCACATCGTCGCCAAAATCGAATACCTTACATAATACTCCAACAAAAACAGATTGAAGCGAACACAAAATAACACGAGCTATTACAACACAATGGCAAATAAAAGCTTTAATAACCGCAGATATTATAGTGTTTGCACCATAGTGTTCTTATTGCAAAACTCGAAGCCTAAACCTATCACGTTTCAGCATCTCACTTGTCGGACGAATTCTAAAACCCAAAAGTAACCAAATCCATCGTCATCAAAGAAAAAAAAAGGACCGAAAACTCAATAAAAAGGAGTCACGAAAACAACAACCGAATCAATCATTTTCCTCTAAGCATCGAAAAATTACTTTTCTTACCACTCTTCACAACCTGAGAAGCCATCATATCAATCTTTAAACTCCCCGAAGGCATAAACCCCCTAGCCTCCATCATACCATACAATCGCCTCGCATCTTGCAAGAACCCACCGCTCCTAAGCGAACGTATAATCCTCTCAAAATCGTCGCTCTCCAATTTCTCAATCTTCGATTCAATAACTCCCAAAGCCTGCAAAGCCTTCTTCTCCGCCCCAGCCTTCACATACATATCACAAAGACTTATCTGCAGCTCAAAAGGCGGCGCCTCCCCTGTTTCTCCAATCTTCTCCAAAACCTGCTCCGCCTCGTCAAACAGCTCCAACTTACTCAGCCAATCAACGAGCACTGTGTAAGTCGCCACCCCAGGGGTAAATCCGTCTTTCTCGAGCTCAAGCAAAAGATTCAAACCCTCGTCCAAAGAATTCCTCTTCTCGTAGGCTGAAAGCATACTAGCCGTACACCTGTCGTCCGGCTTGTGACCGATTTTTATCATCTGGTCGAAATTGCCCCTCGCCCGGTCAACGTCGCCAGCTCGCCCGTACGCCTCCACCATTAAAGTGCAAGATTCCAAGCTCGGCTCGAAACCCGCGAACTGCATCGTGGAGGAGATTCTGTCTGCATCCGCCGTTTTGCCGGCCTTTGCAAAGGCACTTAATAAGGCCATGTATATCTCCTTTGTGGGTTTTAAGTCGCGCGTCTCCATTTCTCTCATTAGAGTTTCGCCGAGTGTTGGTTTACCGGCTTTGACGTAGGCCATGATCATGGAGTTGTAGACCTTTATGTCTGGTTGGAGCCCCTGGGCCCGCAGGTTTTCCAAGGCTGCTTGGGCTTTGTCCGGATTGCCTGATTTGCAGTACATGTGAACCTCGATTGAGTAGGTGATTACATCGGGTAATATTCCGTTTTGGTTCATCTTGTTTAGGATTCTTTCGGAATCTTCCAGGCGGTTTTGTTTGACGAGGGCGTCGATTAGTTTCGAGTAGTCGCGCGTGTTTGCTTGGAATGATTCTTCACCGAGTACGAGTTCTGCAATCTAGAGACAGACCATTGAATGTTTTAACTTTTCTTGAAATACAATCGGTTCTACTTCATACAAACTAAATGGAGAATGGAGATTGAAACCACTAAAGTGAAATAAGAACGAAGAATCACTTATCAATGTAAAAAAAATCGTCGATTTGTTTCCATAATATTTACTATTGCTCAAACGTTGGGGATGAGAGGGTAGATATAGAGACGACAACTACATTTAAAGGTACAAACAGCAATTTGGCAGTTCATATTAAGGAACTAGAGATTACTGTAATCACAAACATTTCATCATAATATTTAATGTTAACATCATATACCTGCAAGAACTCAGTATATTACGATAAAAATCAATACAGAAATTTTCATCGATGCTCAGAGCAATTTTCGAGATAAACTTTCGAGCGAAAAGGAGCAAAACTGTCATACCTCGAAATATCGATGAGAATTCTCTTCTTTCAACCTATCAAGTAAAGCAATCCAGTCGATCCTACTAGGCTGAAGAAGCTCGACCCATTCGCCCAAAAGTGGAGCAGGGTCATCCCCTTCTTTTAAAGACATGATCTTTTCAGCAACAACTTTGCACTTCCCAGAAACGGGCTTCGGTTCTTTAGGCGACATCACTTCACTGTTCCCGTGAATCTTATCCGCCACCTCAGCCCATTTCGGATCAGACAAATCAAGCCCGTAAATCTTGTACTTAATCTTGCCATGTCTTTTCGGAAGAGAGGTAACTCTTTCTTCACCTTCGCCACCACCAACAATTTCTTCTCGAGATTCCTCTTGTGATTCCCCCTTCTGGAAAGATTCCAAACTCTCGTAAAACTCGCTCTCCTCCATCTTTTCGCGGGCCCACTTGAACCGAAGCTCCCTCAGCATATCTCCGCGAATGCCCACTTGACCGGCGAATCTGTACATCTCTTTCACTTCTTCGGATTGAAGAAAGCCTTTCATTTTCTCCTTCTTCTTTTCCTTCTCCATGTCTTGCAGAACTACGTTGCTCACTTCCCACACAGTTCTCCACAAATCCTCGCTGAAATCCTGCGACGGCATCTTCGATGCGGCGGGCCCCGTCATTTGCTCGAGGCCGCCCTTTTCCATCTCCGACACTACCGCTCCAACAATAATCACGAGCATGCCATCGATCGTACTCTTGTCACACTCGGGGTAGCATTCGGAGAGCTTTTTCCGCATTATCCAAGAAAACCTCGACAAGAATTCGCTCATCGTAGCGTCATTTTCCGATTCCGATTCGTGCTCCAAATTACTCGGTGAGCCGTCTAAATCAACTTCCTGTGAAGTGTGAATATATCTCACAACAGAGTTATCGAACTTCGTGCTTTTACGGCGGTCGGCAAGAGATGAAGCACCATTAGCTAGCGGCAGCTGGAATAAAGGCGGGGTTGCAATACATCGATAGCCAGAAGAATGTGGAGGCAAAACCCTAGGGTTCAGCTTCGATATATGAGCAAATGTGCGCCTGCTAAAGAAGAATCTCAAATTCATGGCTATTCTATTCTCCTTAAACCCTTCGTCAATGCAATGAAAAAAATTGGATTTTGATTGGTCAAATGGGGGCGAAAAAACAGGAGGGGTTTGAAAAGAATATCAGATCCAACTGTAGACAACACTCATCTTTCTTTAGGGCACCGATGGAATACGAGGAGGGAAGTGTTTCCCTGCAATGAAGCCACAGTTTTATTTTTTTAGAAATCCAATCGAGAAATTAACCCCAAATTAAACCCTAGAGTGTTGGGTGAAGGTAAATTCAACGCACTAATTATCCGGATTTTCACGAGATATTGAAACAATTGATGAAAATGATAAGTAACTGAGAGAGAGAGAGAGAGAGAGAGAGAGAGAGAGAGAATCACCAGCAGAGAGGGAAGATCAAACTGATTGAACCGGGAGAGAGATTCCACTGTGCAGAGATGAGCGTGAACCTGCTAAAAACCCTATCAGAACCCTTCAGCAAAATCTGGACCGGGTTTTGACCCGGATGCTGAGTGGATCTCTTTTTTCTTTGGGTAAATAGCACTTAAACCCCCTGAGGTTTGAACTTTGTGCGTATAACCCCATATGGTTTGAGTTTGTGCATATAACCCTCTTTACTTTCAATATAACACATGACTCCCTAGTATTTTAATCTAAACACATAACCTCCTTCTACTTTCAACAATTTCCTCTTTCTATTGAGCATGATTATTTGCCAAGTGGAATACTATAAGGGGATGATTTACCAAGGATTCGACCAGAAGAAAGTGAGGTCGATGCAGTGCTGAAAGCGATTCATAAAGCAGTTTCTCGAGGATGCAGTTTTTCGAGGATGGTGGTCGATTATACTAGAAGTTGATTGTTTACATGTGATTGAGGCTCGCAAGAAAGACGATTCGTAATTTCGCTCTTATGGGGCATTTATTGAAGATATCTGCTGGTTAGCTAAATCATTTGACAGTTGCATGTTTTCATTTGTCAAAAGGAAAGGCAATTCCTTGCTCATGCATTAGCTAGTAATTTTGAACTCAGTTGTATGGAAAACTCGATTCTTTCTCCTCGGTTGACTGTTTATCCCTAATTAATATATTATGCTCTTTGTTTAAAGAAAATGTCACAAAAATTGATGATTCAAATATGTGAAATGATGATAAAGATAATTATAAATATATAATTTAAAATCTCTATATTTTTTAAATGACAAGAGAACGTGCAGCCGCTCGAAGTGCACTGTATAAATTTTGTCGTCTTGTGTGTAATGGACAAATCAAAATATCAAATCTATAGAGTATATTGTATATATGTAAAGTTAGTGTATACACTTGATAAGTCTATCTCCTTATCTTTTGGAACATTTCTCATCTACAAAGTACCAATGCAACTTGCTCCTCTCCATTTGAAGATTTTTTTCTTCCAAAATACTTGTAAACCTCTTTTTTATTCAAAGATTCTGTCATATAATCTTTTGGTCCTCCAATTTTTTTCTCGCTTTATGATTGGACCATTACTAAGTTATACGTTTCTTCGTAAAGAATCGATACAACTCGATCACATAGGTAAAGAAATGTGAGAAATTAAAGAACAAAGTTTGAATTGGAAGAGTGAAAGGACAAAGAAACAAGATAACCAGTTATATTTAGGACAAAAAGATAAGGATTCTAAAATATCAAAGGGGGCCTATTTGGATTGATGAGTTAAATACCAATACTAGTAGAACTCAACATTTTAGGGAAAACTTAATTTACGAAATTGCAATCCGAGTTTTTTGTTAAAAGATATTAAATTTCTAAAACTTTTCTAAAAATATAGCAATGGACTTTTGAGAGGCTAAACGATGTTGGTATGTTGAAATTTGACGAGTTTCATTTGATAGTGTTTCGTTTCAGACTCAAATTGTCCGAACAAACTCTTATTTTCCCCTCATTTCCTTCAATATTCTTCATATAGCTATTATCTAATAAAATTAACAAAATATTATTTAAAATGTTATTTTTAGGTCAGGGTCGACAAAAATATTACTATTCAAGCAGCGTTTTAATCGATGTAATATTGAATTGTCGAGATTTCGTTATATACCGAATTATCGAATTTTGCCATACAAGGCGAGCTCACGAAGACACGAACCAATGGACAAGAAGGAACAAATTTAATTTGGAGCACTATTTCAAAATTTCAACCTTCTATTTCATCAATATTGTAAACAGAATATTTGTTTATTTTTATTTTTATTTTTATTTTATTTATTTTCTGAAAGTTTGACAATAGTAGATTCCTCAGTAAAGAAACTGTAGAGTCAAAATTTTCAAAGGGAAAATTAAGTGGGAATCAGTTTGCCTTAATTCTCTAAAATAGCAATGCTGATGAAGTATAAGATTTGATGCATACACGATTAGGAATATATTCCAACTCCCATTGGCTAATTAATTTGAAAAAATAATAAATTACAAACTGATTCCAAACAAGTGGAATAATTTGTCTAATCACTTGACACTTAATTTTTTTTAATTTTTTCACCCTTGTATGAAAGATATATTCTACACGAATAAATTAAAAAATATATATTTATTACCAAAAATCAGCAGAAGCCCGAGTTTCCTTTTATGTAAGGTGAAAAATAAAATATATAGAGGTCCAAATTAGGGGTGTGAACGAGCTGAGCTCGGCTGTTTTGGCGAGCTCGAGCGCAAGCTTATTATGGTTTTTTTTTTTTTTTTTTTGATTTTTTATTATAAGAAACTATTTATATTAATATACAAAAATTATAACATATATAAATAATAAATAATGATATGTAATTATGTATATTTTCTAATTTTATATGTTTTTTTTTATATTATTTATATAATATTTTAAATTATTATATATATTTAAATAAATAAAAATAAGGCTCTTGAGTCCACAAACAACTATGAGAATGCTCAAGCCCGACTAGTCAGAAAGCTCAAATTCAATCTCGAAAAACTCAAATTCGAGTTTGGACATTTTTCGAACTGACTCATCGAGCTCACGAGTCGACTCAACTCTTACCACCCCTAGTCCAAATGTCTAATTTCGCCCTATGACTGGGCCCTACTGGCAAACTCATGATAAATACCATATTCATTTTTCTTGAAATTGTAGAGCCATAAATCTTGATCTGAAGATGTACACGTAGTAACAAACTTCTGTCCTAAATTGGGCTATATATATATATATATAAATTGCTAAAAATAGAAGTGCTGTAATTCTTTTATTTATTTATTTATTTATTATTTATAATGAAGTAAAAACATATTTAAGGACAAAATCACAATTACATAGCAGAGCAGAGCCCACACAACAAAGAAAGAAACCTTTGGAATGTTGCTCACAACTAGATAATATCACCATTTCCCAAGTCTTACAATAATGTATTAACATATATATATCTTCATATTTAAAAAAAAAAAAAAAAAAAAAAAAAAAAAAAAAAAAATGGACATAATTAAGATATGGTAAGAAAAAAGAAACAATATCCCAAGAAAAGATAACAGAATATCTTGTGCATTTTAATTTATTAGAGAATATATATATCTATATATCTATATATCTATCTTAACTAGTTGGAAAATTGAGGGATCTAATCCTCCACCAGCTGGTTGAAATTCCCCCATTTAATCCACTTGCTCATCATCTTATTATAAAAATTAAAAAAGACAAGAAAATGACTTTTTTTAACCTTCAAAACAAAATCCTAAGCTAAATAATAACATATTTACATAATAACCCTTCAAAAAGATTAATATATATAGGATAAATTACTGCCACTCCCTCTGAGATAAGGTTAAATTACGATATTTCTTTTTTCATTATCTGATAATTACAACCAATCCCTCAATTGTGAACCTTCTTGCACGTCCGCTTACGGTGTCAAATTTAGTGGAATCTTCTAAATTATGTGGAATATTCTCCAGTTTGTACCCGTTTTACCATATTCGAGCTCCACATTTTGAAACAAGATGATCATAAAACGTGTCTTTTGGATTGTAAATATCAGATTGTGGTGCATTAGAAACTGCATTTTTGCACAAAACAAGTACAAACTAGACAATATTCCACAGAATCTAGAAGATTATGTTGAATTTTAACACCGTAATAGTAGACGAGTAAGAATACTCATAGTTTTTTTTTTTTTTTTTTTTTTTTTTTTTTTTTTTTTTTTTTTTTGGTAATGCAGGAACCCGCAGCCAACCATATAGGTGCACTGGGTAAACCTACACTCTCGTATAATAGCTTGCAAACCATACGAGAGATGTAAACCACACTAGGCTAACCATGTGTGACAAGCTCGACCTAGCGACCGTTGGCAAGGGGATTCGAACTTGGGTCAATTGACCCAAGCTCCCTTGAGAATACTCATAGTTGAGTATGAGGGAAGTGATTGTAATTACCCAAACATAAATGAAATTTTCGTAATTTAATCTTACCTTAGAGGTGGCCAGGTGGCCGTAATTTATTCCTCTTCATCACCACTTTCTTCCTTATATATAAACACTCTTTACTCCATCAAATATCTCACCAAAACACACACTTCCAACACTTTCTCCATTGACTGCGGCAAAAATCTTCTCTTCCCTTTTTTCTTCTATCCTTCTTTTTTTTTTCCCCTCCGTATTAGTCTCGGAAAAAAAAAAACGATCTTTCTCGATTTTTTTACGATAAAAATCAAGTCTTTTTCGATAAGCAAATGGCATCGAGCTCGATGACATCGTCACGGTCATCATCATGGACAACGAAGCAGAACAAGCAATTTGAGGAGGCTTTAGCTAAGTACGACAAGGAAACGCCCGACAGGTGGCACAACATTGCCAGGTCAGTTGGCGGGAAATCGGCCGACGAAGTGAGGCGGCACTACGAAGCTCTTGTTAAGGACATTATGCAGATTGAAACTGATCAAGTCCCAATACCTAATTACAGAGCCATTGCTAATACCAGAGGATATTCCAATGAGCAAAGGTATTTATATTTATATTTATATATACATATATAATTATTTTTTGTTGTCACGATTTTATTTTTTTCGGGCACTATATTGAATTAGCGACAAATAAGTATTGTCGATAATCGAAATATTATTTCCTATGGTGTTTGCTCATTTGTTTCTACCAATTGATATCTTTCCACAAAGAATTGAAATTTTCGATTTCATAATATGTATCTTCAATTTTTGGAAACTTTTATAAAATTTTCAAATTGTAGCGGATTAAATCCAGGGATCGTAGACATTGCCTCGTTTGCATCACCGATAGTTTTGAATTTCCCATTTATCAAAAAATTAAATTCATTATCATTATTAAAATTAATTAAAAGTTCTTGCATTTGCCTAACTGGCACTAATTAAGGTTTCCATTTGTGGTGCCCAAGTAGAAGGAAATTTATAAACAAGTTATCTTAATTAAATAATTATTAGAAGAAAAATATATTTTACCACATGAAATCTAATCTTACTAATTTTAGATCATAGCACATGGCCTTGCACCCGGCTACCTCATTATAGAAATTCCACCATTTGTATTTATTTATTTATTTGTTTATTTATTTATTTATTATTATGACGACAAATTCGTCACGTGATCGAGTTCGTCGATAACGGGTTATATACTAGATTCATTGAACTTGATCTTTCTCATGCATCTTAAATTAGGCTTTTTTCTTTAAACTATATATATATATATATATATATATATATATATATATATATATATATATAATATAATATAATATAATGATCAAAACAAGTTGATGTTCATTAATGATGTAATAATAAATAATTATATATTTTCCTGGTATTTACTTCAATTTTCTTGATGTTAACAGGCTAATGAAGAATCTCAAGCTTCAGGGATGAGAAGTGTTTAGAGAGAGAGAGAGAGAGAGAGAGAGAGAGAGGGAATCCATATTGTAATATATGATGTAGTGATCAAAGAGAATTTTAAAATTAAGTCTTAATTATGTTTTAAAGAAAATGTAAAAAAAATTCAATAAAAAATTGAAAAGAAATACACGTGTCAGCACATGGGCGCACCCGCGGGTTATATTCACCGGTTGTATCATCGCATTCCCCCGATTACGTATTCGTGATGATTGTAGTCTCCTCATCAGTAGTTCAAGTACCATATTGCAACTTTCAATATTCTGCTTACGGAAATCTCTATTTAAGTGGTACTTGTCAAAATCGAGAAAATTGTCCAATTTAAAACGTCCGCTTGAAATCTATGAAAATGCTTTCATCATTTTCTTCCATTTCACAATCAACTATTAAAAAAAATTAGATTCAATATAATTGAACTCCGATTTAACTAAGTTTAACTAATTAATCGTAATTCACCATATTAAAGAATCATCTCCACAATAAATGTGACCATCAATGGTTCAGTTGTAAAGTAGCCGTAAGCTAACTTAACATTTAATTTGCAAACTACGATAATTAAACAACACTTGTCTCGATTTTGTGTTATTATTCCCTGCCTAATTTACCCTTTTCGTATCTCGATTTAATTTGTTTTTCCATGTGAGCTTGGGCCTATTAACTTCGGCCCAACATAATCATTTGGGCTATTGAGGGCCTTATTTACATGGGCTTGTTAATTTTGACCCGTAACCCGTACCTGGCCCGGTGGAGGACGGGTTCGGGCCGGGTCGAACCGATCCATAATTTCGTTAATTTAAAATGATGAGCTTAACTACAATTTTGTTGCCAATATGTAGCTAGCCATGGCCCAGCAGCTGGGCATGAGTGTTCAGCTTGAGCCATTGATGAAAACGAAATTGAATTATTCTTAAGTTCAACTAAAAAAAGAAATGGTCCCATTTAATGTTTATGGACTAAAATAGCATTTGTCTTAATTATTACCTCATGTTTAAGTATAGTTTAGCCGCCAAATTCATGACTTCCCTAAAGATTCACATTTGAGATTTTTTTTTTTTTTTTTTTTTTTTCATTTGCTATTTTTTTATCCTTTCATCTTGTATTTCACTTGAACTATATATTGTTTATTTGGGAAAATAGTGAAACCCCATCATTTTGAAATAATTAGTGATAACTCCAGACCCCTCGTGTTTTTTTTTTCGCGAAATTCTAGATTATCTTATGTTTTTTTTTTCACGAAATTATGGATTAATTAAGCTGGATGTAAGTCGACTATGCTGTTTGTGTACTAATTTATTAATCGACGAAGTTGATTAAAATGTTAAAGTGTGTATTAGACATAAATATAATAAATCGATTATAAAAAAAACATAGTTGATTTATTAATAGACATAGTTGGTACCTAGCCTTTAACAATAGGGTAAAGGTCTAGGGTTCGAGTCCCCCATCATCTATTTCTCCCTGTAATGGACTTGAACTTACTAAAAAAAAAAAAGACTATAGTCGCTTACGTAAACTGTCATGTAACAAAACTAAAATCGATGGAAGAAAAGTCGGACAGATGAGAGAAGTTCTATCACGCAGTGCATTGTTCGCGCCCGCAGAGGAGGAAGTTGCATGTTTATGAGAGAAGGATTGTTTCAATTACGGCAGTGGAGGCAGGGGCGAGTCCACCCCTTTGGGAGGGTGGGACTCAAGTCACCCTTAATTTGCAAACTTTTCCCTATATTCTACGTATATATCTATTAAGCCACCCATTTTTTATTAATTAGCCCACATAAAATTCAAATTAATGCAAAAAATCTCTAATTTATTTTCTTTCTTCTTTTTATGTTCCTATTTATGATTTTGTCACCAAAAAATCCAGAAAAAAAAAATTCGGGGCACCCTCTAAAACATTCTTGGACTCACCATTGGGTGGAGGTGTTTGATGTCCAGACGATGATCCACTGGCAGTGGAGGAGGTGTTTTGATGTTCACACTCCTTGACGGCGGGTGGAGGTATATTTGATGTCAGATGGTGGTGCCTGGGCGACGTTGAAGGTGTATGATGTCATGACGGTGGTGCCTCAGCTACGGCTATTTATGATGAAAAAGTATAAAATGTTTTCTATCATAGTATAGATATATTATTTTACACACATTGTATGTGTTAATATGCAAATCAAAGATGAAAAACATATAATATTATTTATAAATCAAAGATGAAAAACAGCCCACAACTTCTGCAACTACGAAAGAGGTGGGGGAAAGATGAAGACACGAACCAATATTTCTTACCACTAAAATATTAATTTTAATTAACCAAAGGAAATGAATGACACGTCATCAATGTCTAAAACAGCATTCATAATAAATGAAAAAATATATGAACAATGCCTAGTACTTCAATTAACACATCGAATATGAAACATTCCTCTTGAATTTTGTCCAGAACTCATGAATCCCAAACATTTAAGAACATGAAGTTATAATTAAGACACTAAGAAATTAAAGAAAAATAAATAAATAATAATAAAAACAAAAATTAAAAAAAAAAATACTAGGAAATTACATCCATAAATTCTAATTAAAGAAATTTGAATAGGGAAAGTTCTTACTAAATAATATTAATTATTTCTAGAAAAGCATGCATAATGCCTAAATCTTACTACACTAAAATGCCATTGCTAAACTATAGATTATTTAAATTTATGATTTAGTCCTCCAAGTAAGCTCAAATTAATTCTTGGGGATTTTTCTTGGAGGAGGAAGAACTCTTGTTATTGTGCATCCAAACTTTGAAAACTTGTCTTTTAACCCCAAACTCTGCGCAGAACCTCTGCACCTCTGCGTCATCTTCTCTGGGGATCCGCCACCCGAGCTTCTCCGCCAGCTCCAGCATCTTGCCCTTTTGCTCCGTCGTGAACTTCGTGCGGTGCCGCTTCTTGGTGACGAACTGCGGCGGCGGAGGAGCTACCCCGCTGGAGTGGTAGGTGTTGAAGTTCAGCTCCTCGCTGGAGGAGTCGGTGCCGGCGCTTCCGGCGCCGCCGCCGCCGCTGCCGTAGGCCATCTTCACCGGCTGGACCATCGCGCTCCAGTGGTGGGCGCCGCCGCCGGCGCGGTGCTGGCTCATGGAAGGGGAAGGGAGCGGAGGCGGGAGCTGTAGTGGGTGGACCATGGCACCGGCGGTGGCGGACTCGCCGCCGCCGTGGGGGTGGTGGTGTTCCTTGCGGTGGAAGTTGCGGTGGCAGCCGCAGGCGGCGCATTTTAGTGCCTCGAGGGTTCCGTCGTCGCCGCTGGGCATGAACTCGCCGCAGCCGTCGGTGACGTTGCCGCCGATGTTGGCGGCGTGGTTCTTCAGGCATTCACGGTAGCTGATCCTCGGGTGGTTCGCGCCGCCGGGCTTGGGCTTGGATCCGCCGGAAAACGGGTCGGTGATTCTGGGTTTCTCCACCGGGGTTACGGTGTTGTTCTCGACGGAGTTGATGTTGTAGCCGCCCAAGGAAGAAGACATTCTCATCGCATCCTTCTCTTCGCCGGGTAATGACGTCATCTTCCGTCACTTCTTGTTGATAAACCCTAAAAAAATACCTCAGCCACACGAAAAAAAAAAGAAAAAAAAAAAAAACTCGATCTTTATTAAGCAAATGTACTTGTTCTAATATAATTAACTATCACTTAATTAATTAAAGATCTCGATTAATGATCTCCATAACTAAACAATCAAACCCTAAATTTTCCATTGAAAAAAAACTAATAGTAGTCATCAAAACGGCAGAAAGAAAGAGAAAGAACAATACAACCCCATCAAGACAACCATAACTAACTAACTAACTAACTAATGAAATCACCCACCACCCTTAAATAATAAAACCTTAAAAAAAACACAAAATTTAATTAATTAATGAACACACAGAGAAAAAGGGTTGCTAAATTTCACGAAATCTTGAAAAAAAATTAGTGGGGAACTGTGTGTGTGTGTGAGTGTGTGTGTGTTTATGGGAGAGAGTGTGTTGCAGTGGTTCCAACAGCCAACTAAGTATCCAACAAGAGACAGCTTGGTTGCTTGTGATGAAGCTAAGATAGAGAGAGAGAGAGAGAGAGAGAAGTAAAAGAAGAGAGAGAAAGAAGAGAGAGAAACTAAAGGGATGAGTGGGAAACAACAGATGATGAGGATTAACAATCGATCTGAACACTAAAAACAACCGACAAAGTCATGTTCGTCCTCTCCCACGCCCTGCCACTCGGTCCCATCTCACCCCTTCCATTATTGCACACCACCCCCCTCCCCCCAATTTTCTTTTTCTTTTTTTTTTTTATTTAATTTTTGCCACAGTTCACACGTACCCTATTTCCTTTTCACTTTCCATTTACCCAAAAAAATTAAAAATTAATTAAAAAGAAAAAAAAGATGACGCGAATAATGGGTGTGGGATTGTGATTCTGCGCCTGGATTTGACCCCCCTGCTGAGGCTTTTTGTTTTTCAACATACGCATTAATTATCTATCCATCCTGAAATTTTTATATTTACCCTTACTTTAATTTTAGGGTAAATTACAAACACCACTGAGGTATGCTCAAATTACAAAAACCCCCCTCTTGTTTGGATAATTACATCTACCCCCCTCAACTATGATTTTTTCTTATACCTTCACCTTTATGGTGCCAAATTCAACATAGTAATCTAGATTCCGTGAAATGTGCTCTAGTTTGTACTCTTTTTGTGTAAAAAATACAGTTTCCGATGCACCACAAACTGATATATACAAGCTAAAAATCACATATTATGATCATCTTGCTTCATAATGTAGAGTTTGAATGGGATAAAATGGGTAAAAAAATGATAATATTCCATATAATTTCGAAGATTCCACTAAATTTGATGAGTTGAGGGGGTGGTTGTAATTATCCAAACAAGAGGGGTGTTTTTGTAATTTGACCATACCTCCAGGGGTGTTTGTAATTTACCACTTAATTTTATCCTTTTTTTTTATTTTTTTTATTTCAAGATTTAAACTTTTTTTTTTTGGGATTACTTGGGATAATAATTTGGGATATGTTAGTCATTAATTGCATGTATACAAACTACTGGATTTTCTTGACAAAAAAAAAAATAAGAAAAGAAATGGACTATGTGTATATATGCTGTATGCATGTATATGTTTTGTACGTATAGGTGGAGGGGTGGTGTGTGAGGAAAGAGATGGGCCAATAGTGTGTGGGGGAGTTGTCTGAAAAAAATGTAGTGTGTGAGGGGTCTGTCTGCAAAACTCAAACTGTGGCAGGCCCTCCCCATGCTTTATTTTTCCCAAGCAATGTCTTTACCTTTCTGTCATTTACACTATGCTACTTCTGTATTTCCCCTCTCTCTCTCATCTCTCTCTCTCTCTCCCTCTCTCTCTATATATATCTCTACATAGTACATACACATACATGAATTGTATATACTTTTTTTTTTCTTATAATTATACATTGTAAATACTTAATGATATAAGTAAGAATCAGTGTGAAACCCGGACCGACCGGTTGAATCTTTTAAACAGCGAACCATTGACTTGTTCGGTCCGGTTTGACCGGTTGAACCGTAATATAGGAGTAATATAGGAACTCGAGTGAAAAATGGGTTATTTTTCCCCAAAATTATGTTTTTTTTTTAATAAAAATAAACTAGTAAAATGACCAAAACGACCTCTTTTTTACTGCCTTAGTTGAAAAAAAAATTAAATCAAAATAAAAAAATTTAAAAGTGGAAAACATTTGATTTTTTATTATAAATTCTATAATATTTGAAATGATTTGGTGTGATATATTGTGTGTGCAAAAGAAAAATAATTTTGGTTTCCATTTTATGTGTAAATGAGTAAATTAGTTAAATAGTTGTAAAATAAACAATGAAAAGACCGGTTAGATGCCGATTGAACCGGTCTAACCGTGATCCAGTAGTTTGTTCGGGTCAATGTTCAGTCCAATTTTCAAAACATCGGTAAGAATATGAATATATATATATATATATATATATATATATATATATATATATATATATATATATATATATATATATATATATATATATATATATATATATATATATATATATATATATATATATATATATATATATATATATATATATATTTGGGGAGTAATTATTGGTAATGGAAAGAGTCCAATACATTGTGTACCCAATTGAGAATCAACACAAGCCTGCAATGTGGAATCCAATTCTTTCTATATTCTTTCTTATTTGTTCACGGGTCATTTTGCAATTACCTACTGCAGTTTCAGCCTTTTAGTCACTAGCTAGGCCAATTCATCATATTTCACTCCAATTTTCTTTAATTAATTTATTTTTATTTCAACTTCATTGTACTAATTTCTCTTTGTTAAAATTTGCTTCTATAATAATATCAACATCAATATGTGCTACACCTCTAGGTTGTCTCTATGGTGTTGGTAATTACAGCCACACCGTGAAACAATTACCGAAGTCAAGATTTCATGTTTTCGAGGACCGATATGCACTATATTTGTTTCCCACGGGATCGTTAATGATAGACAAAAAAAAAAATATATAAATTATATGTAAAATAATAAGGATTTAAGAAATGTTATGAGAATTTCATCACCCCCTAGTTTTATATATGTTGTCTCCACTACTGCCTGAAACTAATATCTGTTAGAACCCTAACAGAATAACTTATCAACTGCATTATTCCGTTAGGGTTTCTAACAGTGTTTCAGGAGGTGATTGTAATTATCGATACTACATGGACCTTAAAGTTATTTTGAATACCTCACGGGTGTAGTTGTAATTTACCCAAATAAATGGCATTTGAAAATCTCGACGAATCCGATCTAAAATTTTCTGATTTTTCGAATATGTTTTTTCATTCAGATTTTCAATATTTTCTCTATTTTTTTTTTTAAAGAATGGAATTCAAATAAGTGTTAATTCGAGTTCGATAATGTTCTATTTCCACCCTAGGCAACAAACACAATTTTAATTCTTGCTTGCCGGATCAAATTGACTACGAATTTAAATAATAGAAGAACAAACAAAAGCCCAATGGTTGAACTGTTCATCAATGTCAAATATTTCTAATTCTTTTGAGAATATAATCGAAATTAATTAATTTTCAATTAAAAAATGGAATTTATGTACAATCAATACTGTATAAGTAGTAAAACAAAGCCACACACACACACACACACTTACTTCTTATTCAGGACCAATTTTCGTACCATAAAAAGTTTAAGGACCAAAATCGGAAAAGGTGTATAATACAGGGACCAAAACTGCAATTATACATAATTTATGCTTGTTCTTGAAAACATGTTACAGAGATGATGATATCAATGGAAGATAGTTTCTCGTACTGTGTTTAGATTCAAACGCCATTTTCATTACAACATTAAAATCAGCACCACCACCTCTCTCAAATCTGTACTTCGCCGCCCATCTCTGTATCTTCCCGGAACTAGTTTTCGGCAAACTTCCGCTCTCCACAAGAATCACTAACCCCACACTAACCCTCTCTGCATCCATTACAGCAACCTTAATCCCCTCGCACACCTCCCTCAATACCTTCACCTCCACTGCGGCGGCGCCGCTGCCGCCGCGGCGGCGTCCCTGCAGCTCCGCCACGACAGCCACGGAACCTCCGTCGCCGGAGATCCCGAACGCCGCAATGCATCCCGGCCTCAGCGTGTTCCGGCCGCAGGTGGTGCTGTACGCCGCCGTCTCTATGAAGTGGGGGTGTACTTCGCGGCCGCCGGAGAGTTTGATGATGTCGGAAATCCTGCCGGTAACGTAGAGATACCTCTCTTCTCCGACGACCACCCCCGTGTCTCCGGTCCGGACGAAGCACGGCGCCGCCGCCTTGTTCCTCAGCCGGGCGTTGAAAATTTCCCGAGTCAGCGACGGGTGGTCCAGGTATCCGGCGGCGTTGCTCGGCGACGAAACCCATATCTCCCCCTCAACTCCGTCGCTAACAGGCTCGTGAGTCTCTTCATCCACAATCAAGATTTCAATCTCCTCTTCCTCCATGGATGAAGAAGAAGAAGAAGAAGAATCTAGCTTCGCACTCGGCAAAAGATTCTTGAAAATCGGGAAATTAATTATATCATTTTCACCACTCGAAGAACATAACAATCTCCAAGAAGTCGACACGAACGTGCAGTTTTCGGCCAAGCCGTAGGATGGAGATACGCACGTCGGATTAAGCCCGAAAGGCCCGAAAACTTTAACGAACCCCTCTATCGAGTCCTTATATATCGGCTCGTTGATAATTATAAGATTCTTCAGAGTACCTAGGGTTATAGAAGAGGTCCCTTCACTGACTCCCCCTCGTCTGACGACGAGGGGCAGCGTGAAGGAAGGGACCGGCGTGCATGTGGCTCGGTGATCGCTGATCAGCTCGAGCCACAGCCTAGGCCGGTTTAGAAACCCAGCGGGTGACGTCAGGACGCACGTCGCGCCCGATACTATAGTTAGTAGGAGAAACATTAGCCCGCAATCATGGTACATGGGGAGCCAAGAAACGATCACGCTATTCGGGTGAAGATCATAGGCTTTTCTAGCCACCCTCACGTTGTGGGCGGCTGCACCTGCGGTCACGAGAACTGGCTTAGGTACACTGGTTGCGCCCGATGTGTACTGAATCAGGTACACATCGTGTGCATTGCATCCGTTGTACCTCGAGATATCGTTCGATTTGACAGTTACGCCCTTCAGTTCATCTGTGGATATCCATTTAATCTTCCGGAGAAGCCCGGGGAGCCCGTGACTATTATTGGTGGACGATGTGTGTGCCCGAAGGGCGTTTACGTAATTGCGGTTCGCTATGGCGGCCTTAGGTTTTGTTTGGGATAGAACCCTCACAAGGTGGTGGTGGTGATTGTTGTGAGTGGCAAAAGAAGGGTGAGGTGGGACCACCGGGACCGCTATAAGCCCGGCCCGTTGACAAGCGAATATGATCTCAACAAGCTCAAGGCCCGGCGGACATAATATGACAACAGTGTCACCTTTTTGGAGTTGAAGTTGCAATAGTTGTGTGGAGATGTTTTGAACGGAGGTGTTGAGTTGCTCGTAGGTCAAGGTTGAGGAAACAGGTGTACGGGCCGGGTCGTCTTCGGCCCATACGAAAGCGGGCTTGGCCCGAAATGCGGGGAGATTGGCCCATATTGGGAGGTAGAGATCCACCACTGGCTGGTCTGGGAAATAAAGATCATAGTTTTCATGTTTCATTATATTATATATTCTTTAATTCTATTATTTGCTAGTGTTAGTGTGACAACCTTGTTTGTGCTAATTAGATTATTATGTGTATATATATATACTAGGAAGATTGGAGAAAATTGGATATAAAGAATATGGTTTTAAATTTGTCTTTTGCATAGGTTACAAAAAATGTTTATTAGGGCATTAGCAAATATTCCATGAATATCCCTCTATATTGGTTTTGCTTAATGATGTTTAGTGTATGTTTGTTAGTTAATTTTTATGCTAATGACACGGTTTATTCCTAGCATATATCCTTTATACTAAGGTTTGATATACCTAATTGGGCCGACCCAATGGACCCCCTAATTCGCCTAATAATTAGGCCCACTACACGAAAGCCCAAACACCTTCAAAATAAGGTTTGGGCCCAACAAAGTAAGCCCAACCCACTCAACGACATATAAATAGAGGTTTTTACTCATTTATTAAGGTACGTTCTATTATTCACAAGTAGTCTAGAGTTTGATTCTCTTTACTATTTTCCACGATCCGTACATCTGACATGAGCGTCGGAGGGGTTTCCGCCGGATCAACCCCCGGCTTAGTTCACGTGTGCTCATTTCGCAGGGACCTCAGGATCATCAAGTTGTCAAGCTACTGATCAGCTTTACTCTCCCAGCTCGTTTTCTACACTACCCCAGGTGATCTAAGTAATTAGCATCATCAAGGTTGTAAATCAAACAAATCTACTTTTGATAAATTATAAATCTCGATTATAAAAAAAATATTAAAAGAAGTTAAAAAAATGAAGATATTCGAACACTATTCGTATTTGGCTCGATTAAAGGTGGTTCAAGCTCTATTCGGATACTATCTAACTAACTTAATTGTGAAATAATTAATGAGGGTTTTTTTTGGTAATTTTATTACGATTATTCTAGAGTTCATGCACATTTATTAGTTTTCTTAATATGCGTTTTGTAAGCTCGAATCAATGAATAAGATGGGAATGACTGATCAGTATTTGCGGTTAATTTTTCCATTGTGGTAAATAGTCGAATAATACCTTGTCGTTTGTTGTTAACAAGTAGTAAATTGGAAATCGAATAAATGAAAAATTAAAAACTTGGAAATATTCATATGTACTAATTATCTTTTGAGTTGCATGAAATATAATTTTACATAATACATCTACCAAAATTCTTACATTATATATTTATATTCTACGTTTGCATATGTATTTTATGATTATTTTAAATCATTTACTATAAGTTAGAAAAATACACTCTCACATATTAAATACCAAAAATATGTTCGTCCCATTAGATAATTCAATCCGCAAAAGTATTGTCCCACTTATAAATTCCAAATAAATAATCCAAATTCAAAATGGATATTCGAATCGTTTATCCAATCTATTGAACAATAAATAATTATGTATTAATTTACGAAGGTTTGACTGAAATTTAGAAGGGCCGGACATCATTAATATCTTACTTTCGATAGTAATGGATATATGATTTATGTTTTGTCAACATTTGTATAGATCATAACAAACATTTCCCTAACAAAAAAAAAATCCAAGAATACAAGGTGAATTTGATGCGTCGCACGTTGGAGAAGTGGAAAGGCACAACCCTAATTATTCATAAATCCAAGAATTTAATTTAATTTTGATCCCTTTATTGAGACTAGTAACCATAACCCGTGCGTTGCACGGGTACCATTATAGAACAAATGATATTTAAAACTTAATATGTTGAATATAATGAAATTAAATAATTGAGAATACATCACACCATAAGAAAATCATAAAAAGAAACCAGGACATAACCCGAGCAACCATTATAAAAAAAAGTTTTAAACCTTAACATATTAAATATAATGAAATTAAATAATCGAGAATACACCAAACCATAAGAAAATCGTACAAAGATGGATAAATGATACTGAAAACTTGATTAATACAATTAACTATAGTTTTAATGATTGACCAATCAAACCTAAGGCTCTATAGTTTGTCGAAGTACAACAACATATTGTGACTTGCCATTTCTTGCTTCGTTGTTTCTCAATCCTCAAGAGTCAAGATTGATATATGCAGAAGTTGTGACAAAGTGAACAAAACCATGTAGTAGATATGAGAAGAGTCACAAAATACTGAATGGTGTGCTTGTATGAAAACGTAAGTAAACTATCAATAGGGGCTATAAAATGACCAATAGATCGGTATCGGTAAAAACCAAAAAAAAAAAAAAAATCAAATTTTACAGCTCACAAATTTACCTATTCAATGTTCTCGGAAAAAGCAGCAACAAAAGTACCAAAATGGTATTTCGATAAGTCAAGTCTTCATAGGATCATTATAGGCCTTAACAGTCTATCTATCAACTAAAATCACCACACAATTACACCAAACAATATCAACCTGAAAACCTTCTAGGGCTTCCCGAACTGAGGTAGTGCCTCTTCAAGAACAGGTTACGCCTTTTCCCATGTAACTATGTCTTCAAGATATTTCTCTGGTCTTTGGAAAATAAAATGAGGATATTTTCTTCTTCAATATCAACACAAATCAGGTTTTACATGTACATAAAGTTATGGTTTATATGCACTTAAAAGTTACAGACCATGATAATGATAGAAACTCTTCAAAAAAAATATACATAATAGACATAATTTGCAATTAAAAATTATTTCCAGATTCCACGTACAACCATTCTATATTTATATCCATGGCTAGATTAAATCACATAAATTGTTGAAGGAATCTCATAAGAATTACAACTATCGGGATTAAATCTATAGACAAATTCCGGCTGGTGTTCGAGTCCAGACCATGGTCCGAAGAGATATTAGACGAATTCAATTTCATCTTGCTATTGCCATATGATAATTCTTGTCTTAAATTTTCTAATCGATAATTCAAATCCGCCAGCCCCGACTACATAACCTGAAATATCAGATTTTACACGGCACATAACGAATTCACAGAGAGAGCAATATCACGCAAATGAAAAAAAAACAAATCTCTAAGATACAAAAATCTTACCCCTAGGGAAAATTGCATTTCATCATCGCGATAACGAAACAATCAAATGTTGATGTAAAATTCTATACGATAAAACCAAATTAAAGTAACATGTTATAAAAATATCTTGAATTTTGAGTTGTCTTCCAATGTTAAAAGAAACTTATTCAACGCGCTAGCCTCAAAATATTTTTAAGCTTATAAACAGAGGAATGATTTTATTGTCGGGTCATCTTCATAGGGTGGGATCCTGTTCATGACGTTTTCTGTCTTCCTCTAATAGCCAATTACGTACTCTTCATCTTTGCTTCCATAATTTATCAAAGTTACTACAAATGACAGAACCTACCAGAGCAAGATTGAAAATTGAATATATTGTCCTTAAATATTCAGTAGATTTAGTGAAAAAAAGGAGAAAAAAAATCCTTAAATGCTTACTCATTTTCATCTGTTGGGAAACCTTATTTCGTCACGCAATTTCAGTCGTTGAAATCACTTAATTTTCCAAATTCTCTATCACCAAAATTGCGGGGTCATATAGAAACTTGTGCACATGAACAGTGAACCTCTGTATTTTCAATTATCTCATTTATCGTAATTCTTAATTTATAGAAAATATTTCCCGTCATTTTCGTCTCATATTTTTCACCATGTGTCTACAACAAACAAATGGGTTAAAAGGCGTTGTATGAATTTCTAGCAGAGAACGGATGAAAAAATCTATTCCTAAATCGTTGTATAAGATTCTCATCATCTGATATCCTTGTGACTGTGAAAACCTGTCAACACGCTGATTTCTGTTTTGAATAGAATGTATCAACCAAAAAAATCCATGGTCGCGTGCATTCTCCAAATTTGTGACAGATATCAATTACCATAATATCGTTAAGAAATACATTAAATCGAAAATGTTATTCACAATTATCTTTAATTACATTCAACGAAATTACCAACTTCTGAAGACTTGACACCGGAGACTGCATCAATTTGTTTTGGAAAATCCAAATTACCAAAATTTAGTCAAAAATGAAGAAAAAATAATATATGTTGGGAAAAAAAAAAAGCACATGTAAATAAACAAAAATCGGAAACATTGAATGGTGAACAATAACAACACCAAAAAGATTGATGGAAATTTAATGTCAGACGATTGTAATAATAAATCAAATACAAATATATAATCCTAATTCGGAAACACAATACATAACTGCCCGCCTTACTTCTCAAGAGAGATCCGGCTTGTCTTTGTCCTATCTAAGTTGTTTCCTCTGCATTCGAATTTACTAAGCGAATTTGCAGAAATAAAGTGAGAAATGGTTGGTGAAAACTTACAGTACGGATGTGAAAGGGGATGAGAGAAAGAAAATTGTAACCGTAGATGAAATGCGTTATGTACAGATCAGTTGGAGAAGAATAGATCGTGAGTTCTTTTAACAAACTATCAGGGAGGGGGGCCGTAAAAAAAGAAAAACAAAATTAGGGACATAAGAAAGATCGTGTACTGAATTTTATTCGGAGTGGACGATTTTTGTGTTTAACGTTGTTTGAAAGAAAAAAACTGTAAAAATAAAAAAATTGACTAAAATTTTCCTAGTAACCATGCCCAGTGTGTTGCACGGAATACCATTACAAAAGAGAAGAAAATAAGTATTTAAAATTTAATTTGTTGAATACACTGAAATTAAATAATTGAGAACACATGACACCATAAAAGAATTATAAAAAAAAAAACAATATTGAAAACCTGTTGAATACAATTAATAATAGATTTCATAATTGATCAATCTAACCCAAGACTTCATATGCTGAAGTCCAGCATATCATCATTTGACACCTCTTACTTTGTTGTTTCTCAACATACTTAAGATTGATATTTGGGGAATCCGTGACAAAGTGTATAGAAAGACACTTTAGTTTTGATAAAAATAATAGAAAAAAAAGTATAAAAATAAATAAGTAATAAAGTAGTATATGGACATAGAAATAAGAGAGTCTCAAGGTACACCCAAGAATTGTTGCTAGTTTCCACCTCCAACGAAGATGAATCATTCACAACCCTAATTTTGAATAAATTACAAAAGAAAATTCAAATATGAACGATTTTCTTAGAACATATATGAATTTATTATATAGTGGATGTGAGAAGTTATTAATTAACGGGGAATTACTGGAAGTGGGGAGTTGTTGTTAATGTGTGTTATTTAGGAAAATTATAGATAATAAATATTATTGAAATAGGTAGTGACGATAATAATTGTAATAAAAATAAATAAATTTAAATTTCAGTAATA